TATTACGTATAACTTCGTATTGACTAGACAATTGCATCCTATTTTTTCCCTTCTTACCTTTTTTTTTATTATAGTTGTATTGACTCATATTTTAAGACAGAAAAAACCTATAAGTAGGAGTAACGAATAAAACAGCGTTTATTTTTCATCTTTTTCTGTTCTTTAAAAGCGAAATATTGCCTACATAAGCACATGCTATATATGTTTTTCCCCTTCTTTCAACACCTCGTGCTCTATCAATTTTATTTTATCATTTGGATTATGTTGCCTCTATACTGACCTCTTAGTAATTATATATTTAGGGTTATCCAAAAGTTCTGTCGTCGCTGTCTTATTTTCTTATAGAAAGCTTGAAAAAATTTTCTTTTTTTATGAACAGATAGAGCGTCTTTCGTTCTATTTTTCTATGCTATTTGATCATTATTCAACTAATATCATAATAATAAAATTTCGATAAGAATTATTTTTGTTGAAAGCCAGCTGGTGGTGTAGTAGACCATAACGAGTGTGGCATAAAAAATGGGGCACTTTTGCATTTCACTTTATTATCACGTAATACGTTGTATTAAAAAAACAAAATATACCACAAGATGCAGCGTGAAAAGCTCTACAAATTACACAAGATCACTTATTTTATAGTTGCACTTTTTGTTTTCAAAATGGACAAAACTCTGAGCGTGCACATTTCGACGCTGCGCAAAAGAAACTTTTTGTTTGATAAAAGACGACTTCGTTTTTTCTTATCTCATCTTTTTATAATTGTTCTTTGCAAGTTGTAGAGCTTTTCACGCTGCATCTTGTAGTGTATTTTGTTTTTTTAATAAACCATAATAGGTAATAAAAAGATGAGATAGGAAAAAACGAAGTTGTTTTTTACCAAAAAAAAATTTCGTTTGCGGAGCGTCGAAATTTGCACGCTCAGGGTTTTGTCCCTTTTGAAAACAAAAAGTGCAACTATAAAATAAGTGATCTTGTGTAATTTGTAGAGCTTTTCACGCTGCATCTTGTGGTATATTTTGTTTTTTTAATACAACGTATTACGTGATAATAAAGTGAAATGCAAAAGTGCCCTACCCGTTAAGATCTAATGCTACCAGCTAGCTTTCAACAAAAATAATTCTTATCGAAATTTTATTATTATGATATTAGTTGAATAATGATCAAATAGCATAGAAAAATAGAACGAAAGACGCTCTATCTGTTCATAAAAAAAGAAATTTTTTTCAAGGTTTCTATAAGAAAATAAGACAGCGACGACAGAACTTTTGGATTGCCCTAAGTAGAAAGAATTTTGTAGGAAAGATCAACAGTGGAGTAATGATAAGGGTTTATTTTCATGTTGTTCAATTCTGTACAGCTTCATATGAACTAGACAAACACATCCAATTGTTTTCTCTGTTCTTACACCTTTTCATTGCAATCTCCATTAACCCCTTAAGCAAAGAAAAGAAAAAAAAATATAGGTAACAGTGACAAACAAAACAACGCTTTTTTTTCGTTTCTTTCTGTTCTATACAAATGAGTATTGATTATAGAAGTGCACATTGTTTTTTCTCTGTTACTAGAATGGCATCCTTTCTGACTCTTGCATCGTTATTTTCTCTTTAAATGGTCTGCACGTTGTAAGCTAATGAGACTAGGTATATTCGAATCAAATGAAACCTCTCATTGACAATCTGGCAAATTTAAAATATGAGCCGTGATTGATGTAGACAGGCAGAGGTATTTGAATTTTATAGCACTGATAGTTTCAATAGACAAATCTTCAAGTCACCAGAAATTGACCCGTATTTCCCAACCTACAATCCAATGATGTCCTCTCGAGCGATAGAATAGAACCGAACAAGACACGGGTTAATTAGGCTATCTTTACCTGGGCTTGTCTTCAGTGTGAAAAACAAAGAGCTTATCCATCGTCACAAGCCTTGCATACTTCAATGAAATCAGGTATATATTACTAAAAATCTTAATCATTGCGTTATGTTAGTATGAAGAATGCCAACGTGACTGTTAATCGTACATCGTTCTACCATAGGTAACCGGTAATCGATGAATTGGCGAAACACTGACGGTTGATCGTCACTGTTACCATCTTTACCTTTGAAAATCCTACTGTCGAACTTTAATAGATTTCAACAGAGGTCTTTTATCGATATCAGATATTTATTCCACGTCAGTGTATAAAATAATTACTGATCAAATGACAATATTTCGCTAAAGAAATTTCACAAAACAAATATTCATACGATTGATAATTCCTCTTTTTAGTTTATTCAAGTTCAAAATTATTATTCTGTGCTTTTAAAATAACACATGGCTAAGGCAATGGTATTGGAAAACAAATCTCGTTACACAGATGTTTTCGATGAACCTATACATAATCTTTTAGCACCCATAAAAGGCTATCAAGATAAACCCCTTGTTTCACTCATGGAAGCTATTGAGTCGCTTGCTGGTTTTTTCAATGGAATCGAAGACAATGTCCTGGTTGCTTTACATAATTCCCAAAATCCAGCTGATGGTTTAAATCAACAAGAATCAGCTGCTATACATCTCTACACAATGGAGTTCGACGGTGGGCCAAGTCTATATCTTTTACTCAATCGATCTCTGAGAGCTGAAATTCGCGAAGATTTAAAGCCATGGTTCTTGTATTTGAAATTATTTCTTACTGCTCTTTATAAATTACCTTCACAAAAAGGACGAGTATGGCGTGGTATTCGAGATGTCGATCTCTCTTCACAGTATAAGGTCGGCACGAAGTTCGCTTGGTGGGGAGTAAGTTCTTGCACTGCTGCTATGAAACTGCTCGAATCTGAAAAATTCTTGGGTAAAACTGGACAACGTACTCTATTTTCAATCGAATGTATCAATGGAAAATCTATTGCTGCACATTCATATTTCAAAAACACCGAACAAGAAATCATTCTTATGCCTGGTTCGTATTTCGAAGTGTTAGGTCAATTGAATCCTGCGCCAGGTCTTCATATTATTGAATTAAAAGAAATTATACCACCGATGACACTTGTTAAGCCACCATTTTCTAAACTGAACGAAGAAAAGACCTCTTCAGCTGGATATAAACCAAACACATCTTCTCCACACACATCGACGGCAACAACAGCAGCATCATCAGTCGACAAAGTACCAAAGAAAAAGTCATCATTTGGATCTGGTATGAATAATTTGCTGATTCGTCTTTGTTTTCTAATTTAGTAATTAATATTAGCTAAAGTTTGAGAATAAGAGGCCTCAATATTTATACGTGTCAAGCATGAAAGTTGAATTCAAATATTTAATTGTTCAGCTCAAGTAGGCACGAGAGGTATACAAAATCTCTGATGTAATCAATACGAAACCAATACTTGCACGCGGTGTTCCTTTGGAACACCCATTCCTGAACTTGTATGCGATGCGAGACAAGGGAAGGGAATGTGAGTATACAAAGGGCTTCCATGTGTTAGGAATACGAGCAGGAAAGCGATTTGTCGGGTTCTATCTTGTGTATCCCTTAGTAAATCCCATAGCTCGAAAAGTGAATAGTTGAATACTGGAATTATTCAATTAAAGTTTCAAGTATGGCATTGCTCATAGATATGAAGATCTACTCAGGACGAGATTTACGGAGTCTGTATGCGAATTTTGTGTACGAAAGTCGTTTTTGACACGGAGATTTACAGTCGTATTTCTTCATATATGTTTGTTTACGGCCGTGCTTGTTCGACCTGGGTAGTTTTAACGATTTTAAGGTATATTCTTCTGCAGTTAGAAAAAAGTCTTAAAAAATGCGAGATTCAATTAATTCCTCGATTGCTTTCTCCTCTCTTCGAGCCATGAAAGCTTTCTTTCAGTTATCGCTTGATTTATTTTGTTGGTTTCAATTTAAGTATCAAATGGTTATTTTCAGAGGCGTATACTGAATTGCTCTCAAGTGATAATGAAGAATTCAAAAGCGTCAATCGAATGTTTTTAGACGGTTGGCCAAATGAATTGAAACGTGCAGTAAATGTTGAAGCGATTTATAAGGTCCATAATGATTTACTGGAATCACGTTATCAACGATTCGTTGATTCTAATCCAAAGTTTGCAACAGGAAATTGCATAGGATGGCATGGTACATCGTCAAAATGTCACGATGGTTCGTGTATGTCTTGGACATGCCGTCTATGTCAAATTATCCGACAGGGATTTAAAAGGCATTGTGCACGTCAAGATACTATTTCATATAAATGCTGGGGACCAGCTACGTATTTTTCAAATAGAAGTTTTGTTTGCCACACCTATAATGGGAGTTCAAGATGTGGTACTGACAAACGATGTACAATAATGACTAAAATAAATTCTGGGCACACCCTGGATTATGAGAGGATCGCGAATTTTTGTGAAAGTCCTGATCCTTCTAATTACATTCCTGCATTGATAAAAAAATTCAAATATGATAGTGTTGCCTTAAGCCGATGTTATTATATTGCGCCAGCTGATTATATATTATTATATAATGATTTAGCTGCACTACCGATGTACATAATTGTGTACTCTGTTCGAAAAGCGTTACAAATAAGACAGGAATCAGGTGAATACTGCAGCTTTCATGGGGAAAATCACATGGTTGACGCTTTTTGTGATGGTCATCAGTGTCAAAGCTTGCTATGTCCCAATGCAGTGTGTGTAGATCACGATCACAATCATTTCACACAATTCGACAACTTAGAACCTGATGCTTACATGAAAAAATCATTTTACAGGGAACAATATAAATCAATCTTGAATGCACTGGGCTCAACAGTTTATCCGTAAAGCTTTTGACTTATAAGAAAAAATGTTCATCAAAGTATTATATATTCTGACTGTGATTTATTATTGCGGTAAAGGTCTACATTATTAAAAAAAGCTGTAGAACAAGGGGTATACTTGGAGATGTGCTTAATTGAGATGTGAGTGTATGTAAATTGATTTAAAACAAATCGATTTATTTTTTGTTAAATACATATGAATCAGCTGCTCTCAGCTCTTGCTTTTCAGCAAATGTTATGCTCAGAAAAGGGTGTGGGTGTGGGTGGGTGGGGTGTTGGTGTGGGTGTGGGTGTATTCGGTGTGGGTGTGAGTGTGGGTGTGGGTGAATTGGGTGTGGATGTGAGTGTGGGTATGGGTGTATTGGGTGTGGGTGTGAGTGTGGGTGTGAGTGTGGGTGTGGTTGTGTGTATGGGTGTGTGTGGGTGTGGGTGTGAGTGTCGGTTGTGGATATCAGGGTGTGGGTGTGGGTGTGGGTGTGGGTATCGGTATGGGTGTGGGTGTGGGTGTGGGTGTGTGGGTGCGGGTGTGGGTGTGGGTATGGTTGTAGGTGTGTGTGGGTATCAGTCTAGTATTTCCTCTTAGCCAAACCCACACCCACACGCACACCCACACACACATACCAACACCCACACCCACACCCACACTCACACACCCACACCCACACCCACACCCACACCCACACCCACACCCAC